TGTTACATAAACCATTATTTTAATAATTTTATTATATCTAATAATATTTAAATATAATTCTCATAAAACAGATTTAACAACTTTTTTATTAGAAAAATATCATATTTACAGAATTAAAGATAAATTTTTATTGAAGGATACATATTATCAATGGTGTAGTATTACTCATGTTTACATACATAATAACATATTATCAAAGATTGAGAAGCAATTGAAGTATATTTTTGAAAAAAAATATATTTTTAAAAGATATTGTTAAATGAAAATAAAATAATATAAATAAGAGAAACATTGACATTATATTAGAGTGGACCGAGGGAAGAAAATATTGAAAATTGCTCCTTCAATGTTTGTTATATCAGTATTGAAAATGACATTATCTTTTTTCATGTAATTTTCTGTTTCAATCAACTACTGTAGTTAAATATAAAATATAAACTTACATTAAAAAACGTTTTGATAAAATAAAATTATATTAAAAAACGTTTTGATAAATAAATAATAAAAAAATATTAAATTCTCTCAAAGTCAATTTTGTTATAGGATAAGGTTTTTTCTTTTATTACTTGTTTACATCTTCACTCTACAATTGATGTTATAACTTATATGTCTGATGACCTGTCGAATCTTACCATATTTTTCATGAAATAAATTAATCATATTAGCCCTAGCTTATTAAGGTGGGAAAAGATATCGACATATTGGATTTAATTAACCTCTGGACGTGGTTATCTTCATTCAATCTTACTCTCATCACTACCTATGTAAAGTTGAGATTTCAGCTTTGGTTTGAACTTTGGATCTCGATACAGGATGATGAGATAAGTAGTATAAGAGCATTACTTTAACAGGCGTTTGGATCCGGAGAATATAAGATAATAAGAATAATCTTCGTTTATTTTACAAGATTCTGGTATTTGGTTTGTACGTAATAAAATATTACAGTAATCTTTTATTGTAAATAGTGTTTACTATTGGTAATGTGAAGGGTAATCTTATTACCTTGTTAATGAGTGTTATTAAAACATTATCGGGATAATCTGATTTTTCTACCAATTTTGCCCTTAACTAAAAACTATTTCAGACACAATTACCTTCAAATGTCTACCAAATAACAATTACCCCAACCTCCCTACATTTGAGAAATTAGCTAAAACACCCTAGCCACAAAAAAAGTTCAAAAGTGAACAAAATACCCCTAGCCACCCAAGACCACTGCTGGTTGCTGGTGTTAGTTGCTGTAATGGTGCACGATTGGCAGGATCTGACCAGTCATGCGCCGTTTCTATGGTCGCTTTACCACCAAAAATGTGTCTGTGAAATAGCCATAGATCTAGCTGTGAAATGGCCATAGATCTGGCTATTTTCTGACCATGGATTAATGACCCATGACCATTTCTGGCTTTGTTGGTGTACGAGAGGCCATATACGGCCAGTATGCACCATTCCTCGACTGTCAGCAATGGCCAGCAGTGGTGGTTGGCTGTCGACAGTGGCTTGGGGTGAGGGTGATTTTGCTACAAATTAAAGTTTTTTATGACTGGGGTGTTTTAGCAAAATTTCAAATGTAGGGAGTTAAAAAATGATTCAAAAAATAATAATAAAAAATATTATTATATTAATATTAAAAATGAGAGCAATTAGTAATCTATATAACATACCCACCCATGTATCCTTCAAACCAAAGATATTCACTAATTTATTCAAATCAACCAAACACATTTTCTAAACATTCCTAATAATCTTCAAGGTGATCTTTCTTTCCGTTAACATAATATTCCCCTATAATAAGACATTATATGATTCAAACGCCCCCTAGTGCGTTTAGTTTTGAGAATGTTACATTATATATATTTGGTTAGATTAATAGGTATAAATAATTAATATGTTTGGTTTGGAGTAATAAAAAAATTATGGGAGAGCGATTTACTGAATTGCCATTCTTTTTAAATATTATTATTATTATTTAGATTATTTTTTTAGCCCCTCATATTTGAGAATTTAACTAAAACATCCGAACCACAATAAAAGTTTAAAATTTAATAAAATAGCCCTGACCACCCAAGACGACTGCTGATCGTTAGCCACTACCATCAATCACCGGAACAATGCACGACCAATTGAATCTAGCCGAAAATGAACAAATCGGTGCACAACTGGCCATATCTAACAAGTTGTGGCCGTTCCAACAACTGTTGACGATGATGGCGGTGGTGGCTAATGGCCAACAGTCATCTTGAGTAGTTGGGATGTTTTTGATGGTATTCATGTAAATAGTTTTCATAACAAAGGCATTAATGTCAAAAAAATTAATTATTTAGGGGTAAAATGGTAACATGTATTATGGCGCATTTTCGTCCAAAAAATTAATTTATGAGGTTATAGAAGTCATTTTGCACAATTGGGCTAATTGTTATTTGGTAGACATATGAGAGCATTTGTGTTTGAAATGGTTATTAATTAAGGGTAAAACATGAACAAAACTAAAATTACCTTGGTAATAAAAAAATAACACACTTTGAGATAGTAATATGATTACCCCCTTTATCACCTACAGTAAATACTATTGGTTTTGCAATATTATCGAAATATTTTATTAATTGCTAACCAAATATGAGAATGTTCGAAATAAAAAATAGATTACCGGATTTATCTTCCTACAACCCTAACCAAAAGCACCATAAGAGTACTCAAGGTTTGCCATAATGACATTTTTCCATCCAAAAAGTTTCAAAATACTATTTTCCCACCCAGAGTTTATATTCCGTCAATACCCAAAATAGACTTCAGTTTCTCAGTTGGCGTTTGACAAGTTACTAGGAGCCAAGGTAAGAAGGAGTTTTTAGAGTTGAGGCCGGTGGATCAAATGGTAGCGATCGATTGAATATTCATCGTCGAAATTAGTTGAAAATCAGTTGAGAACAGAAAACTCTAGCTTTATGGCGATCGACAATCGATGAGAAATCAAGTATTGGAGTGAGAAAGGTTTTATAAAGAGAAGACCAAAGGTTCAAATTGTGGTGAAGGAGAAAGTTTTCGCCGCAGAAATTGACTTTGGATAGTAATGAAATATTAACTTTGGCTAGGAAAGTGATATTTTCCAATGTTCTGAAAACTAGACCGAGCCTTGACCCGATCAAGGCCCTGGTTCGTGGTTTGACCGGTTAAACCACTGGTTTAACTAGTGGTCCAAAAAGCTAAAAATCTTACAAAAATGCCCCTAAAACTTTTAGTCCCTACAGGTTTGAAATATAGCAAATACACCCCTACGATCTATTTGTGTTTTGACTTTTCAGCCAAATTTCAATTGATTTCGACGACCAAAATTCAGTTGATTCCAACGGCCAAAATTCAATCCGACACCACCATCTGAACCACCGTCCTCCACTCTACAAAACCCCTCTAACCCCAAAACTTGGCAGCCTTCTATTCGCTAGTCGCGACTCGCAAACACCGCCGTGATTGGGTTGATTTTTTCGGCCAAATTATGGCTTATTACGACTTTTAAAATTCAATCAAACACCACCACCTAAACCACCGACCTCCATTTTACAAAACCCCTCTAACCTTGGCACTTGATAGCCCCCCATTCGCAGACCGTGACTCCCATATTGGGTTGAATTTTCTGGCCAAATTCAGGCTTATTTCGGCATCCAAAATTCAATCCAACACTATCCCATGAACCACTGACCTCCATTCTACAAAAACCCTTTAACTCTAACACTTGGTAACCCTTTGTTTGCCAGTGATCAAATTAGAGATTTTGGTAAATAGTGAACTTGAAATTTCTGACCGGAAAAGAGGCCGATCAACAGTGGGACCAGTCTGGTTTTCATAACATTGATATTTTGAACTTTTTGGATAGGAAAGTGTCATTAAGACAAACCTTGGGTGGGAAATAGTCATTTACTCTTACTTTAAGTCAAACCTGAGGACAAAATTGTAATTTCCAAGCAAAGAGTTGTTTGTTCAAATTCATGAGGATGAATTTGAGGAAAGTTTGACAGGTGGATAGCAAAATCATGGGTAACGAGAGAAGGAAGATAATGGGGGTGCAAATGGGAGGGGACAACATCGCTATCTTGGGCACCCAGGAAGGGGTAAAGGTCAAAATGAGACTCAATTGTGGATGCCGTCAAGAAGCATTAAGAGAACAATACTTGGTGGGCATGCCACCAAGAACTCAGGATCACCAGACCATTTATCAACTTCCATTACGCAAAACACATTGTACATTGAGATACAAGATAATGTAACCTGGAAACTGCATTCACTACCACTTGTCTCCACAAACTTTGACATTCCTATTATTCTTCTGCATATTTTGAATATGTGATTTGTGACTATGGGTCAACTAGCTTTTCTTTGGAGAATCTTACAACAGTTTTTGAGACCGAGATCCATGTCATATGTCATGAGTTGAATGCTTTATATGCTAAAGAGAACCTATTTTTGTTTAATAGGAGATTGCATTATTCTCAACCTAATCACGTACATTCTCCCCCACTCAATCACTTAATTCCCTTGTCATGATCTGGCATGTACAAAATCAAAACTTCATTCTCGATTCCATGAGAATTTTTATGAAAGCCTTTCATTTGCTTCTCTTCGATGGAAGTTTGATTCTCCCAAATGTATCTTAATCTTTGACCTAATTCTTCTTCTGATGGTCGATTCAACCTCTGATAAAAAAGATATACCTTGGTTCTATTTCATCTCTTCAACAAGTTTAGTAATGAGCATAACGACTCTATTGTTCCAATGGAGTGAATAACCTATGATTGGCTTTTTGGGAAATTTCCAAAACAACGAAATCTTTCCATTTCTTATGTTCTACACCATCGTTAGCTAGTGCAACCTTTAATATAAAAATTGAAACTTTGTCAATTACTCAAAAACTAATCTATGAGTTGACACCTCATAAAACTAATCTATATCTACCGTAAGTTGGTGGCCTTGTGTCTTTCACAGCGTTCACTAATTGACGTTGAACTTCCGAGTAAGGGGAAGAATGAATTCTATATATCTGAAATCAGCCAGAAATCGGAGAATAATCGAAGTTACAATAGAATTTGATGTTTACTTAATACAATTCCCACAAGAAGTGCAACCAAATCCTATGAGAAATGTGGTTCAAATCCATCATTTTGTTGGACTACATTAGAGTTTTAAGACAAATATCATAGTTTCTAAATTACAACCACAGGTTTTGAGTTAAAAATAGTTACAAATTTTTGCATGTTCCCAACTAGCAAACAATTTAAAAGCAAACACACACACACACACACACACACACACACATATATATATATACACAGAGTGAAACCTTGCCTTGGAAGATCAATCCATCAGTTCAGCATCTGCCATCTCTTCATCAACGATGTCTAACTCTCCTCCTTCCAGAAGCCACTGTTCAAGTTCATCCACCTCATCGTAGTCATGCATGTACAAACCATCAGAATTATCCCACTGGTCAACCGCCAGCTCCTCACCACGCCACGCAACATGCAAGAATGGTCTATTTCTAGCTAAAGCATCCACAATGTCTCTATTTACACTCCCTGTCACTCCCAACCATCTCAACCTTGGAAAGTAAGGTTTCTTCAACCACCTGAATGCAAGTTGTGTAATGCCACCACAGTTGTAAAGGTCCAACAACCGTAAGTTACTACCATACCAGCTATTGTCATCAACCTGCATTGACGCTAAAGCCATGATTGAGGTGTCACCTATCAGTGGACATTGTCGCATCCGGAGTTCAGAAATTGGTACCCGACTTTTTGCAAGTGCCAGAATTCCATTATCTGATAGGTAGGGAAGATTTGATAGGTCCAATTCTTGCAACTGCAGTTTAGAAGAGCCGTCAAAAAGAGCAGAGATGCATTTGTCTGTAAGCCTCTTGCACCCTCTAACAGACAAGGAAATTAATGAACCTATGACTCCATATCTTAAATATGACATACCCACATCAGTTATATCAGATCCGTCCAACAACAAGATTCTCAATTGAGGAAGGAAGCTGATTGCTTGGAGGGCTTCATCCCCAAGGCTTCTGCAATCTCTCAAGTCAAGAGCTTTAAGAGCTATGTTGGTTGCCAAATTTCTTATTGCATTGTTGGTTAGAAGATAACACCATCTCAAGCTAACATGTGTTAATGACAGTGAGGTTGCAGTGATGTCATGGAAAACCAGATCGGTTAACTGGGTCCCATGAGACACTCTAAGCTTGTATAGGTTACAGCAAGAATGCAATAACGTCTTAAAACCTGTGTCTGTAACACGACAAAAGCCACCAAGACAAATGCTTTCCATCTTTGCACACTTATCAGCCATTAAAAGAATGCCAAGATCATTAACTCGTTTAAAATAGGTAAAGATGAATTCCTGGCTCCGTATGAGTGAGAGGTGTTTCAATTTCCCATGTGGATTAAGTTCCTGGAGGCCACAGTTGGTGAGGTCAAATGTGATTCTTGGTTCTATGAGAGGTGCATCCCGAAGATCCAAATATGTTAATGAGCTGAGACCTTGTGATATTGTACTAACCATAGTATCAGTAATATAGTCTACTTGAAGGCACAATTTCTGAATGCTTGGCAGTATGGGTGCTTGGATATTATTTGGTGATGGACGGGGTCCCAAATTTGGGCTAAGCAATTCAGTCACCATAACAGCAGATATGTAGCCAATCTCAAGTGATGTGAGTTTTGATGAAGCTAAAGCCCAAACTCGAGCAAAATTATGACGAAGAAATATTGAGATGTCAAACATTAGCATCAATGCCTACCAAAACAATAAAAATAAACATCAGATTGCATGTATTGGACAGTTTCAAAACGTCAAAGAAAACATAAAAACAAAAAAGACTGAAAAAAATAATACAGAAGAAAATAGAAAACATCAGCTACATAGGTTTTAGGAAACTTCAGTAAGTAGAATCCTTACATATTAGATAATATGCACAGAGCTGCTATCTATCATTCATTTGATAAAGGCCCATGGCCAAGGAGGAAACCAGCCACATAGTCCATCCAACTTGAACCACTCTTAATCATTACCATTCCTTCAAGTTCATGAATGTTTGTACAAACTATGGTAAATAAAGGGTTCAGTGAGGTAATCTAATCAACTTAAGCTTCAATATGATAAATTTAGATCAGCCTAGAACTTGAAATAACCAAGCACAGTGTTGCTTCATAGTATACTTCCCCCCACCCAAGGAAAAAGCCCAAACTAAACAGCTATTTCGACAGAAAACTGTCATTCATTTTCTCTACCCTATCAAAAGTTTAGAGCCAATACCAGATCGCCAATAGAAACATATTATACATGTAACAAAAGTGTTTAAAAATTTAAGTTAAAGTCTATGAAATGATTGTACATTTCTATATTACAACTTTCATCCACACACTATTAATGTGAGTCATAATTATCATGTAAATACAAACATGGCTACCTGATCAAAGACCGTTATTGGATGTGAAGTATAAACGATAACAAAGAAGAAGAGGAAGACTTAATAACAACAGATTCCCAATTATCAGTATACACAGTAACAATTTGCTTCCCTTTTGAAATAGATTAAAGCCGCATATCGGAGGCCGATAAATTTCAATGAATAAACCACATTAAATGGCTCTGAGATCAACTGATCCATGTAAAATATCCACCAAAACATTTCCTTATATATTTTTCAATACACTCTTTCCTATTTGTTTTAAAAACTAAGCCTTACTTCTAACTGAGTGCAATTTTTGAGCAACTCCTCCAAGTCAGAAATATGAATAGATCGCCCCCATTTTTCAGCAACTGAGCCCAAGCACAGAGACCTGAAGGAAATTTGACATAGAATCCAATAATGTTGCCGATTATATACAAATAAACACAATCACTTTACTATGAAATTATATGTTCTCAATCACATATATGTATAGCATGTAACTAGCATTATACGGGTAAAAGCGAATACATAAATGATATACCTGAGATCCTTGCATTTGCCTCCAATTTCACATAGCAATTTCCCACTAAAATCTGTGCAATTGTAAAGACAAAGCTCGTGCAGCGAAGGGCGAAGCATAAAATCAATGGCTGAATCATCAAGTTTTCCACAATCAACCTTTAGGCTCCTAAGAAAAGGATTTGGTGGTAACAAAGGCCTCATAATTTCCATTGACGGTGCAACATCCTTCAACATAAATCCACAAACAAACACTTCAGAACCAAATCACTTTCCCATTTCCTTATTTCAATAAATGAATATAATAGCATAACAGCCCTAACCTAACACAATCCATATAGATTGACAATCTTAAATTTTCTATTACTCAAAAGTCAAAATTTGGTTATCCCCTTACATTTCTCATCGTAATATACCAAAACTCCTGGGGTTTGCTAACGCATACTTCATTCGTCAGAAAAACAAATAAACAAAAGCAACCCGTATAAAAAAATGGAGAAGGGAAAAACACTAAAATATTATCCATTCATCTGGGTAGACTATCTTGAAATTTCTCCTCAATTATAACACAAAACCACAACTACCAATTACGCAAAAGTAAAAAATTTAACTTTTCCTTTACATTTCTCATCAAACATTCAAATAAACTTCAGGGATTTGCTCACACATGCTTTAATTTATCAAACAAACAAAAACAATCCACATAAATAAACCGACTAAAAATAAAAAGAGCAAACTTGATCACAAAAGAGCTTGAAGAAGAACATTGCAAAACTTACAAGAATCTGGAAGACGGAGAGAAAAGAGAGGATCTGAGAAACCCAGTCCTTGGACGTAGAACACGTGGCAGCAACGGAGCAGATCGAAGCCACATCAAGCTTGGTGATGATGGTACACAAGGCAGCCGGAGGAAGCTGATCCAGGGAGTACCTAAAGCTTTCATCGTTAGCCATTCTCAGAGAATGAGAATGGCTTTGCTTTCACTCAACTGGAGTGTGTTGGGATTGTGAATGATGGATGGAAGAAAGGATAATAAGTATTGACTGAGAGTNGTCAGAAAAACAAATAAACAAAAGCAACCCGTATAAAAAAATGGAGAAGGGAAAAACACTAAAATATTATCCATTCATCTGGGTAGACTATCTCGAAATTTCTCCTCAATTATAAAACAAAACCACAACTACCAATTACGCAAAAGTAAAAAATTTAACTTTTCCTTTACATTTTTCATCAAACATTCAAATAAACTTCAGGGATTTGCTCACACATGCTTTAATTTGTCAAACAAACAAAAACAATCCACATAAATAAACCGACTAAAAATAAAAAGAGCAAACTTGATCACAAAGAGCTTGAAGAAGAACATTGCAAAACTTACAAGAATCTGGAAGACGGAGAGAAAAGAGAGGATCTGAGAAACACAGTCCTTGAACGTAGAACACGTGGCAGCAACGGAGCAGATCGAAGCCACATCAAGCTTGGTGATGATGGTACACAAGACAGCCGGAGGAAGCTGATCCAGGGAGTGCCTAAAGCTTTCATCGTTAGCCATTCTCAGAGAATGAGAATGGCTTTGCTTTCACTCAACTGGGATCTGTTGGGATTGTGAATGATGGATGGAAGAAAGGATAATAAGTATTGACTGAGAGTTTGGCACATGTGAAGAGTGGCGTGCTGACGCTCAATTCTACGATGTTGTCTGGTTAATGCAATTGTAGCAGTTGACATGGTTAACTTTAGTTTGGAGTTCACTTTAACTTGTGTTTCTGTCCTTAGTTAGAGTTTGTGAATGGGCCAGGTGGGTTGGCCCAGCCCATTTTGTTGGATTAGATGAGACCCAATCCGAAATGAATCAGCCCATTTTGGCTGAGAAAATTTTATAACGTATATTTATTCGAAGCCTCACTGTCAAATATTGTTTGCTTCCTTTGGGCCTTGCTCTTCCTGGTCTTCACGATTTTGCCTTTGGGTTATGCCCAACACGCGTCTAATAGGTTGTGAAACCACATGCTATTTAATTAGCTTAACCCTCTCATTTTCAAGCGACGTGAGATGTCATAATTTAAATAATTTCAATTAACAAATAAAAAATAATAACTTTAAGTAATTTCGATTTTAAAATTTTAACCAAAACATTATAATCTATAATTGACCAATTTGCAGGAGAGAAATAATAACTTTAAAAAGAATAATAGTGGATGATAATAATATATTACATGAATGAAATAATACCAAACATATATGCATTAAAAATATAGTTTTACTAGTTCAAGTTAGATTTTCAATCTTAATTTGATTAAATCAATTTAATTTCAGAGTTTATAATCTAGGAAAATAACATTTATAATGATTTTATTGATTTATTGTAATAAATAAAAATATCAAATGATTCATTATACATATATAACATATATATTATGTATTCACATAAAATTACGGATAATAGCATATTATGTATAATGTATAATGCATATGATACAATATAGAGTTGGGGTGGGGTTGGGTGGAGACATTTTGGGGTGGGGGAAAGATTAACCTCGTCTCTGAAATCGAGGATTGCTTTTATGCCAAAACCGCTCCTAATTTATTCGGAGAATCCCTGTCTCGTTCGGGCTGGGGCAAGGAATGTGCCCATCCCGAGGCCCAAAACAGATAATATTTGACAGTTGGGCCAAGGTGTTTCATAAATCTCCTTCAAATACATACGAATTTTTTTTGATCAACCATTCTTTATCAAATACTTATTGTAGATGGCACTCTAAATTCATTATAGCTATAAAACATAACAAACAAATTCATAAACCAATTGAGAAACAAAGTAATTGAAATTGATGAAAAAGACCCAACTCAAAATAATGATCTAAGTAAGAACAATGGAACCAACTTAAAAAGACCCAACACATAGGTGTATTGCTTCAAGTTTGGAATTAATAAGTTAATTAAAAATTGTAGGAACTAGATTTAGGTTAATGAAACTTGAGTGAAAAGGTTTTGTAAAAGAAATTAAAATATATTTAAGGGTGATTTATGTAATTTAAAATCACTATTAAATTATAACTAGAATTTATTACTAATATGGGCTTACCTAACTAATTATTAGGGCTTGAATAACAACACTCTTATTCGAATAACTTCCCTAGTTTTGATGTTACTTTGACAATTAGTAGACTTGGCAAAACGGACGGGTGGGTCGGGTATGAACATAAAACAAGTCGATCTAAATAGGCTCTAAAAATTAGACTCGGACCCTATCCTATACCGGTATGAGTGGACCCACGAGTACCCATACTGTTCACTCATGTTTTAAATTTTGATAGGTACACCCCCACAATATTTTCGTTTTGTACAATCACACACCCACAATCAACTCCTGCTCTAATTCTTCCAAAAGCGATGATTCTTACAACAATGAACTGGAGTAATCCCATTTGATAAGCGATGATTCTTCCAAATACATCATCTGCAATTAGGAGCAGAATTAGATCAACGTATGCAGCCGAAAGGTTGTAAAGTATTAGATAGTATAAAAAATGCTCTTCATACAGCATCACAATATCTTCACAACAATAATAACACTCATGAAACATTTCAATGATACAGAAAATGCTATCATTTCTGCTATTACTTTTATTATTTTTTCCCTTCTTAAAATTTTAAGAATCCTTCCTAACTGTAGTGACACAGCCAAAAATATAACAGGGAGACTACCCAATCGATACTTACCCAATCTCACATTTGCTAACACTACACTTACACCCGACCAATTAGGGAGGATGTTGTTAGTTTTTGAAATTAAGGGGGTGAAATGTTTTATGCCAAAGATAGGGGTGACAGCGTAATTTATCCGATTTGGTATTTATATTTCTTGCACTTTATCTAAGTGGCTTAAATATCCAAGTTGTTTTTTTTTTTTTTTTTTAAAGAAAAATTCTTTTGCTTATATTTTTTTTATTAAAATTTTTACTCTATTAACTTAATTCTTGTGAATATGGTGTTTTTCAAAAGACAATGCATTTAGAAAATAGAGAACACGTTTTCAAAAGTCAAAAAGTTTTTTGCATACCCACATGAACCACAATAGAGCGAACCATTAATAAGCACACACATCTCTTTCTCTTGATTAGTTGTTCACACGTAAGATGAATATATCATACAATCAATTAAAATATGTTACAGTATATCGTAACATATGATATAAACAAGTCACATAGACGTTAAGTAAATGTAGGTACCAAATATTTTTGTTATTGTTGAGTAAATATAAACCTTCCCACGCTATAGTTAGTCAGGTGATTAATTCATGGTCTCAAATCACCAATCTTGCCATTTATGGGCTGTCAAAAACAATATGAAAAAGGTACATGGTTTGTTGAATTTTACATATGTAGGAAAATATCATTTAACAACCAAGTGTTAAAATTCATGGCATAAGGACCTACCAATTAGTATGTCGTGTAAAACATCTACGTATTTATTGAATTTAAGCCTTGTCTATGCAAGTCTTCAACTTACTAGTACAAATACTTCGTGTGAAACATTTTACATATTCATTGTATTTAAGCTTTGTCCTTGGAAGTCTTCACCTTACTAGAACAAGCCGTCACCGGCAAGGCAAGTATCATGTGCACTGATGTGACCATTTCCTAATTACCAAATAGAGATATGATCTAAAGATTGATAATCGAAGATTGCGCTGACGTGTTAACGCTCCCTAATAAGATATAGCTATTCCTCCATGGCACACTAGCATTGAACCGAACTGCAGCGGAGGAGAGCTTTTGCCTTCATACTTTATGTCGGAAAGAAAGGACTACTAAAACAACAAAAGAGGCTTAATGGCATTAAGAGATCAGGAGACAAGAACAAAATAATCTTGAATTGCTTGTTATCATTCATTATTCCTCTTAACTTTAAGCAACAGACTTACAATGTTGAAGAACAGCTACAAACATTCAACTAGATACAATTACAAAGCTTGACATCTCCATTTTCAATGGAAAAACATTCTTTATGAGCCGGCTTTAATGATTCAAACGTGTACTATGTATCAAACTCTGAGAGTATTCACTGCACTCAACACTGCCGAAAATCCTTAATGAACTTAAAACAATAATATTCAGCCCCTTCTCAGCAGTGTGATGCACAAAGAAAACTGTATCAACTTGAATCACCAACAGAAAATCCTCTATCGGCAGCATAATCCACAAAGCTATAAAGTGGCACCACTTTCTCACCGTACTTCTCGAACCCATCCAATTCCTTCTTAGCTTTGGTTCTAAGTTCCTCAGCCACCTCCATAGCCTTGTCAACGCCATAGACAGCAACATAACTCTTCCCCTTCTTTTTTGTTTTCTCTTCATCTTCCTCACTCTGTGTTTTCGCATCCAACAAATCATCAACCACTTGATACAATACCCCAACAGCTCTTCCATACCTCCTCAATTTCTGCACTTCATCATCTTCTGCACCAGCCAACAATCCTCCACACACTGCAGAGCACTCACCCATTTCACCGAATTTTTTCTCTTGCACAAATTCAACAGAATTAGGCCCACCTTCAATATCAAGGAACTGCCCGGCAGCCATGCCAGTTGATCCCACAGCACGGGCGATCTCAGCAATCACACGAAGGATGCAGGTTTCAGGTACAAGGTCAGAGGGTGTGTGGGATACAATGTGTTCATATCCAAGAGGGAAGAGTGCATCCCCAGCAAGGATAGCCATGTCAACGCCATAAATTGTGTGGTTTGAGGGTTGGCCCCGGCGTGATGGGTCATCATCCATACAGGGAAGATCATCATGAATCAATGAAGCAGCATGGACCTGTTAAACAAAATTTTTTAATTAGACCGCTTCTACTTCAACTGTGATTCAATTCTCAAGAGCAGAGAATTCAAAGCAATTTTTGCCTTTAAACCAACAGAATGATTTCAGAATGTATGCAAACAGATTCCTTCTGCCCCACTGGGTTGAGAATTGACACTGGTATGCAATGCAAAATTCCAAATCTAACATTCACTTTTTGTTTGCTAACAAACTAATCAGAGAATATATATAACAAATATAAAAATAGACATTGTACCTACAATCTGATGACACAAAACTTTTTAAATGTTGACATAACTCATTTATATCAAGATTCTCAGGTCAAATAATGCCTTAATTTTATGATAACATAGTAAACCATCACAGTCAAAATTGAAATTTTAACAAGAATTAAAAGTAAAAAAATAAATAAACTTTACCAAAAAATAAGAAATAAAAGATTCAATTCAACTCCAAAGAATATCTGAAGTAAAGAGAGTCGAACCATTTCAAGAGCACAAGCAGTGGGAAAGGCAGCAAGGCGATTACCACCAAAGAGCTCACAAGCCGCCACACACATGACAGGTGGCGCCCTTTTGGCACCTTTGGCCAGGACGGAGTAGCGCATGGCTTCATAGATTCCTTCTGGGTACTTAATCGGGATTGCTTGGTCCAACTTTTGGTCAATCTCCGCAATAAGTTTTGTCCAGTAAGTCTTTAAATCGAACTGGGTCGATCTTTGCTGCTTTCCGGACACCGAAACAGAACAACACCGAACTACCGAAAGTCTTCTTGGGAGGAAAACACCTGGTGGGGTTGTTGATATTACTGTTGAAAACATCGTAATTTGTTTTGTGAACCTGGGACGTGAAAGTGAGATTCAATGGTGGAACCGTGGAAATTCATATAGCGAATGAATGCGGAGTGGGCGTAATAGGTAGCGCAAAAGAGATGACTGAACTTGGAAACTTTGAGTTTGATAAGGTACACGTGCCGCTCGGTATTTGTCGTACAGGTATTGGTTTCATACTTGTGCTATGATTCTCCGGTACTCAAGAAGTCATTTTCCAAGATATATGGGCCACCATGTAATTATCCCTCATTCTGATGATTTTTGATATTTAATTACCAACAAAATCTACATTTTAAAATATTAAAATATGGTTTAAAGCGAAAATTCCTTAGTATATGGTAAAAGGTAAAGCCTCACTAAATTTAGCCTTAGGCAAAATTCTAGGTTCGAGTCTCCCTTGTGACTGTCTTTGGGGGCGGGATGAGGTCGGAGTTCAGTTTCCTTGTAAACTCCAATAGTTAAATTTAAAAAAAAAAAAAAAAGAAAAAAAAAAAAAAAAGAGGAAAACCAGTAAAGTGAATTCAGTATTGGGGTGATCAATTAAAAAATCATCATATGTTTTCTTTAAAAATATATGTATTATAACATATAAATGGCAATTTATTAAGGAGCCACCTCAGCCGAACACTTTCTTTGTTAAGATAACAATTTTTGACTCCACATAGACATCATGTAAAAAGTTCTTTTTTTTATTTTTTTTATTTTTTGTTTTACATATATGCGTTTATTTTATTATTTTGAATAGTATTTTTGAAATATTATTATTAAGTTGAGTTGGGTTATTATTACGAAGTAAAATTCAAAAATTAACCAAAAAACCCTTAGGTTTGTTAATTTAGCTAAACATCCCCAATAATAAAAAGTTTATAAATCGACAAAAATACCTCCACCCATCTATAGTTGCTAGATTTCGGCCACCACCGCCAAAATCTTCTTTCATTGCGTATGACCGACTAGATTTGGCTGGTTGTGCATCGCTATGACCTTTTTCCAACCAAAACCACCACAGATTTGGTCGGAAAAAGCCAAATCTATAGTCGAATCTCGCTTTTGATGGTCAGATCTGGCCGTCAATGACGACCAAAGATATGGTCAACATTGAATGTCAACGACGACCATACATTAGCCGCTATTGACGGCTAAATGTGGCCAAAGTTATAGCTGTCAACGACCAGATCTTTGACCATGGATCTAGTCTTTTTCGGCCAGATCCAGTCGGTAGTGCGCTATTACGCTAGATTTCGGCCACCTTCCGGTAGTGGTTGTCGAAATCTGACAAATGTGAGTGGCTGTGAGTGTTTTTGTTGATTTATAAAACTTTTTTGTTGGAGGTATTTAGTTAAATTAATAAATCTACAGAGGTTTAAAATAGTTGAATATTATAGGATATGATTTTGAGAATAGGGAAAAACATGCCGTTTGGTTCACTATTGGATAGTTTTTAGAATAATATTTTGAAAAAAAGTTAAATTGGGTGGGTATTACGATGTAGAATTTTGAAAATTAATATAAATACCCCTATGTTTATTTATTTACTAAACATCCCTATAATAAAATATTCAAAGTTAACAAAAACACCCTTAATCCACTTAAAAATATGGACAGTCGGCTACCACCGCCAGAGGTTGGCCAAAGTTGCCTTACCGGTATATGACCAGCTCGATTTTGTTGGTCATGCGCCGATATGACTTTTTTCGGCCAAATCCACCATGGATCTGGCTGGAAAAGGCTAGATCTACGGCTAGATTTAGCCATTAATAGCCAGATCTAGCCGCATTTGGTCGCTAATGACGACCAAAGATACGGCTGTCGTTAATGGTCAACGACGACCATAACTTGGCCGTTGTTGACGACTGTCTATGGTCACAGATCTGGTCGTTAACGGCTAGATCTTTGGTCGTAGATCTAGCATTTTTTAGCCAGATCTACTGAAAATGCTAGATCAGCACATTACTGGTAAGATTCAGCCGGTAGTGTGTCATTACACCAGATTTCTGCCAGCTTTCGACAGTGGTGGTCGAAATATAATAAATTTGGGTTATTAGAGTGTTTTTGTCAACTTTTAAAATTTTTTTAAGAGTTGTTTAATTAAATTAATAAATTTAGGGGATTAAAGGAAATTGAATAATTTAGAAAACCATTTTGAAAAAAGATTAAATAAAATTAACTTTTTTAAAAAACTTTTGAGAATAGTTTTTTAATATGTGAACCAAGCGGAGCCGCGTTATTTTAGAATAGGAGTAGACGAACAAACGCAGGTGAGTCAGTATCTTGGCGGCAGACTGACTGACTGAGTCACCTCAAATAATGGGTGTAGGACCGATGTTTTAAGGACTATAATTTTTGTGTTGGTTAAAGAGTATGATTCTAAGTTCTAAGTTCTAACATTATTTTCTCTAATTTAATGAGTTGAATGTGACCACTTTAACATTTGTGAAATGATTGTATATAGACTTCTAAAATATGAATAACTGTTGGTCAAATTCTTAGGATTCATGATATAATTAGAGAGTCCGTCTCTGTATTTCCTATATATTAGAAAAATGAAACAATATTTAATATAGAGGACGAGTTTTATTTTAATAAAATTATTAATGCCAAAATTAAAATAAAAAACTAAAAAAAAAAAAGAAAAGAAAAAGAAAAAGGAAGGCATGTAAAGGCCTTATATTCTATTCTCATATGGAAAACCTGGAAAGATCCAGGAAGACACTTATACCCCGTTAGTATTGAACATTATTAACTTTTGCGCAGGTTAAACTAGACTTTTATATATTGAAAAAAAAATTATATAAGAAATTTTCAAAATAAAAATATCCTTTCACAAGTAAAAAAATTAAAATTGTTTTCAATTACAAACTAACTACATAAGAACCTGAGAGCTTTCCTCCCTTTTGACCTTGCCTTTCAAATCACAAATCAAAATTTCCAAAGTCACAAACCAAAAATGCCTACTCGAATAGCCAAAAAAAAAAAAAAAAAAAAAAAAAAAAAAAGAACTAAAGAACAAAGTAATACAACAACAACAATAACCATCAGTGAGTTACTTGATGGTAAAGAGTTTGAATCCTTTTAGACACTAATAGGGATGACTACTGGCCGATAGTTCTTGTGCCCTAGACCGAACACTCCTCATGATAAAAAAAGAAATAATACACCAATATTTGCCGGCCAGCCGAAACCTTCAAATTAAAAGATACAATTATTATATAAATCTTGCAACCAAGAACATAACAAAACCCAACTGGGAGCAGGGCAATAGCCACCATTACATTACTACAACAAAGGATAATTAACTGATAGTCTTAATTGACCCTAATTAATAGGGTGATTAATTAAGGAAAAGCTTCTATAACAGATTGAACTGCACGAATAGGCTTAACATTATATCTGCTAAATCCTGCCTGCCCAAGAACATAATCCCATTCCTTCAAGGTTCTCTCTTTGCCTTTGTTAGTGTGAGCCATCATCACCATGTCTAGCATCAATCTCACAAACTTTACTTGTCCCTTTCTTCTCTTCTTCTTCTTCTTCAATAATCGTTTCAACTAATATCACCTTCCCTTTCTCCTTTGGAATCGATTCTCTGCATTTCTTAAGGATTTGGATGCACTCATCATCCTCCCAATCATGCAAAACTTGCTGCAGTATAAAAAATAATTTACATATTAATCAAACTGATAAGATCTAAATTAATTTATCAAAATCAATACCAATTACCATGATGAAAACAGCGTCCACATGGGAACACTTTGAAACATGTCACCCTCCACATGCTCAACTCCATGCCACTCTTGATCTGCAGCACACACAACATAGGAAGATCAAAGTTATCCCTCTAATCCTGGAAAACCTTTCACCAACAACCCTAAAGCCGTCCCATTCCCGCCACCAACATCAACCAAGCTCCCATCCCATCAAAAACCTCAGGACAACCTTCAATAACCGCAGGCACTGTTCCTCTAGCCATACAGCCTTGCATCATTCAAGAGCTTGCTGTGACCTCATCCACCGCCGTATAGCTCCACAACCTTCCCATGAGCCGTCTCGAAGTGATTCTTCTTTCGCGAGCACGCGAGCGCCTAGGCGATGCCACGGTGCCAGATCACTGGGCTCTCCAGAAGAAAAAAGCTACCAGGCTGTTATGTCCTTGTGTCAACAAACGGTGAGACATAGGTGTTTGTTCAAAGGCTATGGAGCCGTGGCTGGTGGGCGTCTCTTTGACGAGATGTGAACTAGAAACTGCTTATACGGTGAAGGGAGGAAGGTGCGCAATTGAGAGATGATGATAACTCAGAAAGTGTCATGGGGCCTCCGTGGTTTTCAATGGCTTCAGCTATGCCGAGCTCTATGGCACATTTCACTACTGCAATTTTCAGAAACCCGAATGTATAATTCCAGATTTCTAGTTCTTCTTCCTCTTCCATTATGGCCCCTCTTTGTGTTAACTCCATCTCTCTCTCTCTCTCTCTCTCTCTCTCTCTCTCCCTTTGTGTGGAAGTGTAGGCAGTTTTATTATGGTGATTGAAGCTCTCGATGTAACCATGTATATATAGCAATAAAATGGAGGACTGAGTGGCTATCACTGAGATTTGATGACATGGTAAAGCTAATATTTTATGATTACTTTAAAGATATTTAAACAAATTTATTTGTGATTGGTTCAGCTTCCAATATTAAAAAGAACACATGAAAAAAATGAGTAAATTGTGTAAGTACTTTTTTTTTTTTTTTTTTTTAAACGAAGGTGTCGGCCCCTAATTATCGGGAGAGAGTGTTGTTACATTATAGGGGTATTTGAATCATATAATTTTTTTTTTTTATCTTAGTAATAAGATTATCGGAAAAAAAGATTACCTTGTAGATTATTGGATTTAAATTATTATTATGCTTAGTTCAATTGAGATGTATTAATAATTAATGTGCTTGGTTGACAGTAATAACAGATGTCCCGAAATACCTTTTAATAAAATGCCTTTTAGATGATTACTAGATGTAAATAATTAAGGGCTTGTTTGTTTTATTATTTGAAACCTTATTCTTTATCCTATTCCCAGAATACTTATTTGTTTAATTATTTTGGGAAATACTATTCTATTTTTTTAATTACTTTTAGACCCCTTAAGTTTATTAACTTAATTA